TCGAGTTTTAAGAATTCTTCGTATATTTTAGATAACAGTCCCTTATCAGATGTGTCTTTTGCAAATACCTTCTCTCAATCATTGTCCTGTCTTTCACAGAGCAGAAGTTTGTAATTTTAATGAAGTTCAGCTTATCAGTCATTTCTTTCATAAATTGTACCTTTGTTGTTTTATGTAAGAAGTCATCACCATACCTAAGGTCATCTAGGTTTCCTCCAATGTTATCTTCTAGGAGCTTTATAGTTTTGCAGTGTGCATTTAGATCTATGGTCTGTTTTGAGTTCATTTTCGTGAAGGGTGTAAAGTCTATGTCTAGATTTATTTTTTTGTATGTGGATCTCTAATTGTTCCAGCACCATTTGTTGAAAGGACTATTTTTGCTCCACTGTATTGCCTTTGCTCCTTTGTCAAATATCAGTTGATGATATATGTGAGTCTATTTCTGGGCTCTATATTTTGTTCCCTTGATCTGTTCGTGTCTTCTTTCACCAATACCACACTGTCTTGTTTACAGTAGCTTTATAGTAAGTCTTGAAGTGGGGTAGTGTCAGTCCTCTGACTTTGCTCTTCTTCAGTATTGAGTTGGCTCTGTACTGGGTTTTTTATATCTCCGTATAAACTTCAGAATCACTTTATTGATAACTTGCTAGGCTCATGATTGGGATTGTGCTGAATCCATAGATCAAGTTGGGAAAAACTGACATCTTGACACTATGGAATCTTCCTGTACATGGAATAACTCTTCATGTATTTATAAAGTTCTTTGATTACTTTCATTGAAGTTTTGTAGTTTTGCTCAGATAGATTTTTTTATATAAATTTGTATCTAAGTGCCTCATTCCAGGAATGCAGGAATGTGTTCATATTAGAAATTCTATTAATATTTATCACATTGAGAAGTTTAAAAAAATCCATAATAGGCCGGGCGCGGTGGCTGCGGCCTGTAATCCCAGCACTTTGGGAGGCTGAGGCAGGTGGATCACGAGGTCAGGAAATCGAGACCATCCTGGCTAACATGGTGAAACCCGGTCTCTACTAGAAATACAAACAATTAGCCAGGCGTGGTGGTGGGCACCTGTAGTCCCAGCTACTCTTTGGGAGTAGTCCCAGCTACTTTGGGAGGCTGAGGCAGGAGAATGGCGTGAACCCGGGGGGCGGAGCTTGAAGTGAGCCAAGATTGCACCACTGCACTCTAGCCTGGGTGACAGAGCGAGACTCCGTCTCAAAGAAAAAAATCCATAATATAATAATTGCCTTTGATACTATAAAGGTATTTGATAAAAATCAACATCTATTTTTGGTGTTTAAGACCATAATCAAGTAAAAATAGATGGATATTTCATTGAAAATTTAAGATACCCGTGCTCGCTTCGGCAGCACATATACTAAAATTGGAAAATTTAAGATACCCACACCTCAAAACAAAAACTAGTATCACATAAAATGATGAAGCAATAGAACAATTTCCTATTTCCATTAATGCCAGAAGCATGATAAATATGCCTACTGCCTCTCTTATTACTTAACATTATTGCAGAAATGTCAGCTAATACAGTTGACTAAAAAATAATTCAAAGGAAGATGTAAAAATATCATTGTTTGTAGTTGATATCATTTTTGAATACTTGAAAAATCCAAATAAACTACTACTAGAAACAAATCATATTCATTGATGCATATTTAATATAATTTTTCTATATACAATCAGAAAATATGAAGATTCTTGATACAACAGCAGCAAAAATTATATACTTTAGAATAAACTCAAAATATGCAGGATCTATGTAAAGAAAACTATACTTGCTAATGCATGTCAAAGAAGATTTAAAGAAATGGAAGGAACATGTAGTGCTTTGGGATCTAAAGATTCAATGTTGAGCAGATATAACTATAAATAACATACGTTATTGAATAAAGTAATTTTAATAAAAATTTTAGTTTTTGAAGCTTAATAAGCTGATTCTGAAATTCACATGGAAATTGATATATATGGATCAAAAATAAAACTTCTAGAAGAAAATATGGATTATTTTATTTTTAGTGCCTTTTAAAATGACATAAATCCAAAGACCTAAAGGAAATGAAGGAGAAATTTGCTAAGATAAAGATTTAGAAAATAACCATAATACAAAAAATACTACAAAGGTCAAAAATGAACTGAGAAAAATATTTACAATATGTTTACTTGATAAGGGGCTAGGTTCTTTTATATATATTATATATACATATATACATATATATATATGGGGAAAAGAAAGATCAGACTGTTACTGTGTCTATATAGAAAGAAGTAGACATAAGAGACTCCATTTTGTTCTGTATTTGAGATGCTGTTAATCTGTGACCCTACCGCCAACCTTGTCGTTGCAAGAGACATGTGCTGTGGTGACTCGAGGTTTAATGGATTTTGGGCTGTGCAGAGTGTGCTTTGTTAAACAAGTGCCTGAAGGCAGTATGCTTGTGAAAAGTAATCACCATTCTCTTAATGTCAGGTACCCAGGGACGTGTACACTGCCAAAGGTCGCAGGGACCTCTGCCTAGGAAAGCTAGGTATTGTCCAAGGTTTCTCCCCTTGTGATAGTCTGAAATATGGCCTCGTGGGAAGGGAAAGACCTGATCATCCCCCAGCCTGACACCCGTGAAGGGTCTGTGCTGAGGAGGACTGGTGTAAGAGGAAAGAAGCCTCTTGGCAGTTGAGATAGAGAAAAGCATCTGTCTCCTGCCCCTCCCTGGGCAATGGAACATCTCGGTGTAAAACCCGATTGTATGTTCTGTTTACTGAGAAAGGAGAAAACCGCCTTAGGTGGAAAGTTGGGACTTGCTAGCGCAATGCTGCTCTTTATGCACTAAAAAGGTTTATGGAGATGTTTACATATCCATATCAAGGCACAGTACTTTTCCTTAAACTTAAGTCACAGAGATCTTTATTCATATGTCTTACTGCTGACCTTCTCCCTATGATGATCCTATTATCCTGTCACTTCCCTTTTTCTAAGATGGTAAAGATGATGATCAATAAATACTGAGGGAACTCAGAGACCGGTGCCGATGTGGGTCCTCTGTATGCTGAGCACCGGTCCCCTGGGCCCACTTTTTCTTTCTCTGTACTTTTTCTCTGTGTCTCATTTCTTTTCTCAAGTCTCTTGAGAAACACCCACAGGTGTGGAGGGGCAGACCACCCCTTCATATATATACACTTTAAGTTCCGGGATACATGTGCAGCAAGTGGAGGTTTGTTACATAGGTGTACACATGCCATGGTGGTTTGCTGCACCCATCAACCTGTCATCTACATTAGGTGTTTCTTCTAATGCTATCCCTCCCCTAGCCCCCCACCCCCAATAGGCCCCGGTGTGTGATGTTCCCCTCCCTGTGTTGCATGTGTTCTCATTGTTCAGCTGAGACTTATGAGTGAGGACATACGATGTTTGGTTTTCTGTTCCTGTGTTAGTTTGCTGACAATGATGGTTTCCAACTTCATCCTTGTCCCTGCAAAGGACATGAACTCCTCCTTTTTTTGGTAACTGCATAGTATTCCGCGGTGTATATGTGCCACATTTTCTTTATCCAGTCTGTCATTGATGGGCATTTGGGTTTGTTCCAAGTCTGCTATTGTGAACAGTGCTGCAGTAAACATATGTGTGCATGTGTCTTTATAGTAGAATGATTTAAAATCCTTTGAGTATATACCCAGCAATGGGATTCCTGGGTCAAATACTGGTTCTAGATTCTGGAGAATCTTCTGGAGAATCACACTATCTTTCACAATAGTTTGAACTAATTTACACTCCCACCAGCAGTGTAAAAGCATTCCTATTTCTCGACATCCTCTCCAGCATCTGTTGTTTCCTGACTTTTTAATGATCGCCATTCTAGCTGGTGTGAGATAGTATCTCATTGTGGTTTTGATTTGCATTTCTCTAATGACCAGTGATGATGAACTTTTTTTTTTTCATACGTTTGTTGGCTGCACAGATGTCTTCTTTTGAGAAGTGTCTGTTCATATCCTTCACCCACTTTTTGATGGGGTTGTTTGTTTTTTTCTTGTAAATTTGTTAAGTTCCTTGTAGATTCTGGATATTGGGGCTATATTTTGTAATATATGAAGAGAACTGTTAAGGAAAATAATGAAAGCCCAATAGACAGATGGGCAGTGGGAAAAAGCAGTTCACACATACACACGAGACAACATAACCGGCAAATAGAATAAAGGGTGCTGTGTCTCATCTATTAAAAGAATGGAAAAGGGAAACAATGAGGTAACATTTTTTCCCTACTGGATTGGCAGGTATTTAAAAGAGGAATACAGCGTTGCAAGAATATATATCCATAGGAACTTTCCTGACCAGTTGGTGGAAAAGTGACTTAGCAGAATCTTTTTGTAGGCCAGTTTGTCAATATTTGTATTGAATTTAAAGATGTGTATATCCTTGATCCATCATTTTCACTTCTAGTAATTTATTCGTAAATGTACTGACATGTACATAAAGTATACACATAAGGATGTCTATCCTTATCCAGTGTTTTTATTAGGAAAATCCAAACAAAACAAAGTAGAAATGGAAAGCACTTAAGTGTTTAGCAGTATTCAAAGGACTAGTTAAATAAATTAGGGTACATCTATAGAATAGAATACTTTTTCCAGTTCTTAAGCAGAATGTATTATTAGATTGGCTTGCATGCATATGGAAAGCTCTCTGAAACATATTACAAATAAAAGCAAGAAATAGTATAGCTTGTAGGGTAAGTGTCCATTTGTGGTTTAACAAAATATATACACTAGAATTTATACATATTGTCTGGAAGGATGCACAGGAAACTGCTCATGATGGTTATCTCTGGGAGTTTGAAGTGTGGTATGGAGAATGGGCTGTTTTAGTCTTATAGTCCCTTTTGAACAGTTTGAATTTTATTATGGGCATGTACAAATTTCACAATAAAAAACAAAGGTTTTTTTTAAATGTGCATTACTTATATTTTTTTCTTGGATTTTTTTCCAGATTTCTCTTGCATTTTGTTTTGTTTCGATGTTTGGGAACTCAATGTTGTTATTATCCTTCTTTGGTAATTATTTGGGTAAGTATTCCTTAACACTTACATGGCTGTTTTTGAAACTAATGGTTTAACAGTTTCTTCTTCACTGGCTTAGGATTCATGAGGGTTTTCTGTAGGAACCATCTTAAGTGTCTTACTGAATATTCTAGATGTGATGGTGTTCAAGTACTCACTTCTAAAACAGGAAAAAAAAAAAAACAATGAAAGTATCATTTCAGAAAGATTTCTATGCTTTCTTCTCCCTTCCTCCTTCCCATTTTTATCCAACTCCTGCTCCACTTTTTGAACCCCTTTCCTCAAACTGCAATCTTATCGTAGCACCCCTCTTCATTCCACTGTGATCAGATGATCAAGGCCTTGGTTACTTAGGGTTTTTGTTTTGTTTTGTTTTGTTTTTTGCCCCTTAAGTAAGGTGATGATTCAATTTTATTTTGTAAATCACTACCAAGAACAGCTTTAGATTATGGAGAGATTATTTTACAGAATTAGAACAAATTGGTGGAAGGTCATCTAATTCCTTCTGCTACATTTGGCAGGATGACTTTGTTTTTTGTTTTGTAGTGTTGTGTTGTGTTATTATTATTTTTTTTTTAAATGGAGTTTCGCTCTTGTTGCCTACACTGGAGTACAATGGCGCAATCTCGCTCACTCCTCCTCCCGGGTTCAAGTGATTCTCCTGCCTCAGCCTTCTGAGTAGCTGGGATTACAGGCATATGCCACCATGCCCGGCTAATTTTGTATTATTAGTAGAAATGGGGTTTCTGCATATTGGTCAGGCTGGTCTCAAACTCCCGACCTCAGGTGATCTTCCCACCTCAGCCTCCCAAAGTGTTGGGATTACAGGTGTGAGCCACTGTGCCTGACTGGCAGGATGACTTTGTAGGTCTAAAAGTCTTCTGAAATTTAAAGACTGCCTTTTTTTTAGTGGGTTTCTATTAAAATGTTTTGCAAACTTGTTATTTCTTATGTTTAAAGTGCATGTGCTTTAGTTCCCGATGACTTTAAAAGCGTATTTCACTGTTGTAATTGGAATGTATTCTACTTCTTGAGTAATTAAGTTACTCAGATCATTTGAGGTTTCTTAATTTCTAGAAGCCATTACATTTGAAACCTCTGTTTTCATTTATTTTACAAATAATATTTATTTAAAAACGCGTTTCTCAAAAATATGCCTCTTCCCAGTCTGGGCCACCACCCTTTTCAGGTTGTGCCTTGAGTATACTTAGCTACAGAAATTAGCAATTAGCATTATGGTATATTTTCAGCAACAACAAGAAAAATCATAACTTTGGGATTAATAAGTATAGTTCTTCAGTTCTGTGTCAAAGTGACAAAGTACTCAGTTGTATGTTTTACATATGTACTTTGTCATGTACTGCTATCACCCAGGATCAAGTACATGAATCTTGGTACTATGGACAGGGAAACCATTGAATCGAATATTATATATAAATAAAATCTAATTTAAATACATTTTGTAGGAAATTTCTCTTCAGTTCTGTATGTCAGGTATGCTGCTAGATGCTTCACACTGAGGTGCGTCTTAAGTATGAATTAAGCGTATTTATCTATATTCCATATATTCTGGTGTATAAAAATAAATGATAACAGAATACAGCATGTTTGTGCATATTTAACTATAAACACACATTTGCATATATTTATAATTAATCACTTTGAAACCTGAATCGTATCACATTTTGTATTCTCAGGTATTCAGAAACTTCCAAAAAGATTTAATTTGGTTTCAAATATTTATGTTTTGATCTCTAATCGTATTTTTGCCATGTTTGAAGTAGTTTTAGCTCCCCAAGGGTAATACAGTTTGGGAGCGTTACTACCTGAAAATACTTAAGATTTGACAAGAGAAATATTTAGTTTATCCATTAAAATTTCATTTGTTGTTTACCCTGAGTCAGTAATTTTTAGCTAAAGGAAAATCTTATGCCTGTATGACTGCTGTCCAAAATTCTGAAAATATTATATACCTCGTGGCTCAGAAATAAATCAGATATGTCAAATCAGTCGTAGACATTTACATATGATGATTTCCTTTTTCAGCTTTAGAAAGTCATGCACTCACCTGGTTGACTTTGTTTGGATAATAGGGCTATACCTTGAAGTCACTGACTGTAGAAATGAGCATGTGGATGGTATGTGGGAAAGTCGACTGTGTGCTAAATTTTAGATACTTGAGTATCTTATTATTTAGAAGAATTTTTTGGTACTTGAATTTATGTCTATAAATAGTAACTGTGTATACTATGTTATTTTTTCTACTCAGGGTAATCTGGCAATGAAACCACATTTCCTGAAAATAAATATATCTGAACTTAGTTTATGGGTAAGAATCAATCTATTTTAATGCTTATGTTTTTTCTTCTCTAAAATATATCATTGGTTTTATATTTTACTTTTAAGAAATGATCTATGTAATTCAGGGGATCCAACAGTTTCATAGTGTATTAGGGCTCAATTTTAATGTACCAAATTGCCCTTTTTTTGAAACAAGTTAAAATGAATCCTGGGTATGTAGTTAAAAAATTCCAGTTTTATTTATTACTCATGTTTCATCTGAGAAACAGTGCATGTATAAGAAACTGTTAAAGGGAACTTAACTGCAGTGGTTGTGTGAATCTTCTATAAAATATATTAATTTTGATAAGATTGTATGATTATATTTTTATTTTTAGTTATTGCCCCTTGATTTTGAGCAACACGCTTGATTTTACATTGAGATGCATTTTTTAGCATTTTCTCTTGTAGATAGCAATATGTATTTCATGTATGATTAAAGCATTTTTTTTTTCTTCCTAGCCTATGTCTATGGAATATGAAGCATCAAAGATATTTTTGTTTTCTTTTTTTTTAGGTTATTCAAGGATGTTTTTGGTTATTTGGAACTGTCATACTTAAATATTTGACATCTAAAATTTTTGGTATTGCAGATGACGTAAGTGCATTTTTTGCTTAAACTTGAAAGACTTGAAAAGAATCGAATAGGCTAAGAATAAATTGAATTATTCACGTATCACTATTAAATGAAATTCTAGGATGAAGTCTGTTCACCTATTATTTTATGTATTTAATATAATAGAAAGTAAATGTAATTGTATATAGACTTTTGTTCTCCAAAATTAGTTTCTTAAAACAATCTCTTATTGGTCCTTCTATATCACTAAAATTTTTAAATTTTAAAGCAGGAAAACTCTAGAGATTAAAGATCAAATTTTAAGGTCTATACGGATGTTTTTCTCTAGCTTCTTTTTAACTGGTAAAGACACCATCTTCAGAGCTTTAACTGGCGATCGTATTATAGTCTCATTCTTTTTTCTCCCCAGTTTTCAAGTCATTACTTGTAAAAGGCTTTTATAAGCCTTTATAGATAATTTAATCCAAGTTAGTCTTATTTAGAGAAGATTTTTGTTTGTTTTTGGCATTAGGGTAGAAGGGAACATAAAATGGAGAAGTCTGTCTTATAATTTTAAGGATTTTCCTTGTCCATAATTGCTCTGCCTGTTTTATTTTGGTGTTTTAATCAGCAAATCCTAAGTCAGGAGGCTGTCAAAGATTTAATTTAAAAAAACAGAACAAGAACCAACATGGAAAAAATAAACTACTTTTTTCCTATAATTTATTTTTAGTAATAAATTATAAATTTATTACTAAAAATAAATTTATTAATCTAGTACAGAAAGAAAAATAAAATTATAGGATTTTATTTATATATAAATTATATTTGATTTTATATATACAGTACAGAAAGAAAAATAAAATTATAGGATTTTAAGATAGATTAATGCTATGGTTTTGAAACTGGGTTATGTGAAGTCCTAGGACTTCCCAGGACTCTTCCCTGAGGGCTGTCTACTCCCCCATTTCCTAGCCTCTCTTTTACCCAGGGCAGTTTAACCTTAATCTCTTTCATATAGGTTTTCATAAGAACAAGGGTTGTTTTTGATTAAAAGATTGAAAACACATAGACCATTAAATGGGTGGTCTACAGTCTGTGGAAAGATTTTTAAAACTATAAAACTATAGTTGAAAATGTATTCATTCATTCATTCATTCATTCATTCATTCATTCATTCAGTACCTCCTGTGTGCCTGACAGTGGAAAGTATCCTAGAGATACAAAACTGAGTAAGGTATGGTCTAGTGGAAAATTTGGAAAATAGGAACAATTTCTAGCAGTTATAATACAGTGTAATAAAGGCTATGATAAAAAATTAAGTACAGAGTGCTTCAGGAATACACAGGAGGAACATTAGGGAAGGATCCTGGAAGTCATCTGAGGATGAGAGCTGAAAGGTGGGTGAGTCAGCCAGTATGCAGAGCGCAAGCAGGAAGACAAGTGAAATAACCCTAGTCCTGCATTTATGGAATCTGTTTTCCTCACTGGGGGAAAATGAGCCAGTTAAGGTACTAATTCAGGTTAAAGCGATTATCGTCATTTTCTGTCATCGCCTAAAATTATGCCAGAGCCAAAACAAGATGCTATAAACTATGTTATTTGCAAATTAGAAATAACTTAGTTGTAACTTTAGTATTTTTAGAAATATGTAACGTTGATCAAGGGCATTGGCTCATAAATTCTTGATTTTGACATTGGTTAAAGGAAGAGAGTGGCAAGGCTACCAACCCTTTCATTTCCTACTGAGTTCTCTACTTTTACTGACAGTGCCTCTGAGCGTAGGCTTTTAGCTGTCCGCCCCAAATCGGGTCAGCCTGCTCCAGTAGTGAAGGTTCTTTTTATGACCAGCCGCACTCCGTCCTGCCGCCTTCAAAAGAACTGTTGCACTAACAGTATGGGGGAGATGGGGGTCGTGCCGAGGTGGATGGGAGCAGCCTAGGTAAAAATGCCGCAGACTCCCACTGTTTTTACCCAGAGTTTCTCTGTTTTTTATGAATGAATGCTTCCCACGTTGTTGCTTCCTTTTGGTTAATTTCTAGAACCTGTTATGAGTGTGTTTTTAAATAATTTTGTCCAATTTTAAAGTTGTTTTGGAGAATGGGAAATACCAGTTTCTTCAGTCTGCCATATTTGGAAGTCGACACATTTTTGATATATGAGTGTTGATCTAGCTTGTATCCTGGGGTAAACCTCACCTGCTCAAATGTAGTATTTCTTTTCTATATTGCTGGATTTGGTTGGCTAATATTTTTAAGGATGTTCATCTATCATTCATGAGGAATATTTGTTGTTGTTTTCTTTTCTTGTAATGATTTTGTCTGGTTTTGGCTTCAAAGGGTAATGTCATCTCCTAAAGTTATTTGCAAGTGTTCTGTCTCCTGTTTTCAGAGAGATTTTTGTGTGGAATTGGTATTATCTCTTCCTTAAATGTTTGGTAGAATTTGACAGTAAAGCCCTCACGGCCTGGAGCTTTCTTTGTAGGTAGATTTTTTTTTTACTACAAATTCAATTTCATTAGGTATCTCTCCAGTTCATCTGGAGTGAACTTTGGTAGTTTATGTCTTTAGAGGAATTTTGCACATTTTATATATGTTATCAAATGGATAATGCTTTTAGAATTTAGTTAAAATTCTTATTGGAATTTTTGTGTATATGCATATATGGGAAGTGATCTTTTTGTTCTTTGGTTGGCTTCTCCTTATTTGGATTTGGAATTAATATTGGTCTCCTATTAAGAGCTGTTGTGTTTGTTTGTTTTTGGTGGTCTTTTTAAAAAATTTTTCCTACTTTCTGGCAACTTGGGAAAGATTTTTTTGAAAGTTTAATAATTTATCTGTGTTAACCATCTCAGTCTAGGGCTTTTTGGGAGGGAAAATACTTGATTTCTATTTCAGATATTTGAATGCTTTTTGTTCTATTCAAGTTTTCTGTTTCTTTTTGTGCCAGTTTTGGTGTTTTATGATTTTCCAGAAATGTATCCATTTTACCTAGGTTTTACAATTTATTAGCAAACTATGTAGCCTACTATTCTTATTTTAGTTACGTTGAGTCCATAGTTATTTCTGCCTTTTTTTGTTTTGCTTTTTGTTTGCATCTTTTGTTTCCTTTATTAGACTTGCTCTAGAGGTCTATTGTTTTAATATTTTTAAAGTTATACCTTTTTTTAGTCCTCTTTGTTTTTGTTGTGTTTCTCTTTGTCACCAATTCCTGTCCTTATTCTTACTTCTTCTTATTTCCTCTCTTCTGATGCCCAAGGGAAATGCTTAGCTCTGTTGTTTTCACCTCTCTTACTTTCTGATCAATGCTTTTAAAGCTAAAATTGTCTTATGAGTATGTAGTACTTTTTAATGTATCTTATAGATTGGCTATTTGTGGTTTTTTTAAAAGTTTAAGTTTTATGATATTTAATTTCTAATCAAAAGAATTTTTAAAGCAATTTCTAGTTATTTTCTGGGTGACAGAGCAAGACTCTGTCTCAAAAAAAAAAAAAAAAAGTTAATGCTTAATTTTCCCCTTGAATGTGGGCAAATAGAATGAATATGGTGGAAGTGACAGTGTATGACTTCCAAGAGTAGGTCACAGGAGGCACTGCTTTCTCTTTGCTTTCTCTCTGAGATCTCTTTCTCTAGGAGAAGCCAGCTGTCATGTCATGATGACAGTCCAGTAGCCCTGTGGAAAGTTCCATGTGATAAGGAACTGAGGCCTTAGTTCTAGCACTAACTTGCCAGGCATGTGAATGAATCATCTTGGAAGTAGATTCTCCAGCCCCAGGCAAGCCTTCAGATGACTGCAGCTTCTGGCTGGCAGCTTAAATGCAACCTCATTAGAGACCCTGAGCCAGAACCACCCAGCCAAGCCACTGCCAAATTCCTGACCCATAGGAACTGTCTGAGTTCATAAATACCTGTTGTTTTAGGCTACTAAGATTTGGCATAATAGCAGTGGGTAACTAATTACAGATGCTGAATCTAGGGGAAATTTTGATGATAAGCAGGATATTTCTTGATCTCAAAGTGTTGCCCCACAGACTGTTAATTATCTCTAAGAAGGAAATTGTACAGGGATGAAATTGTACAGGGATGAAATCAGGCAACAACCTTAACTGGTGATCAGTATTGACACTGGCCATCATATGCCTCCAGATGTGATACCCTGTAAAGGACACAATATCACCTAGTCAGTATACTGGCCAAGAGTGCACATCTTGGATCTAATCATAAGGAAACAGCAGACAACCTCCACACAAGGAACATCTTAAAAGGAGAAAGAAAGAGGAATTTATTTTTCTAAAAAGTCTATGTCATAAAGGACAAAGGTTTGGGAAATTTTCTTTTTTTTCTTTTTTTTTTTTTTGAGACGGAGTCTTGCTCTGTCACCCAGGCTGGAGTGCAGTGGTGCGATCTTGGCTCACTGCAAGACCAGCCTCCTGGGTTCACACCATTCTCCTGCCTCAGCCTCCCAAGTAGCTGGGGCTACAGGCACCTGCCACCACGCCCGGCTAATTTTCTTTCTTTTTTTTGGGTATTTTTAGGAGAGACAGGGTTTCACCATGTTAGCCAGGATGGTCTCGATCTCCTGACCTTGTTATCCGCCTGCCTCGGCCTCCCAAAGTGCTGGGATTACAGGCATGAGCCACTGCGCCAGGCCGAAATTTTCTTAATTAAAAGAGACTGACAGGCTGGGTGCAGTGGCTCATGTCTGTAATTCCAGCACTTTTGGAGGCTGAGGTGGGTGGATCACCAGATGTCAGGAGTTCAAGACCAGCGTGGCCAACATGGCGAAACCCTGTCTCTACAAAAAATACAAAAATTAGCCAGGCATGGTGGCACACACCTGCAATCCCAGCTACTTGGGAGGCTGAGGCAGGACAATGGCTTGACCTGGAAGGTAGGGGTTGCAGTGAGCCAAGATCACCACTGCACTCCAGCCTGGGCAACAGAGTGAGACTCTGTCTCAAAAATAAATAAAATAAAATAATAAAATAAAATAAAATAAAACTGACAATTGAATGCAATACCTGACCTAAAACTGGGTCCTGTAATGGAGGGAAAAGAAATGCTGTAAAGAACATTATTGGGGTCGGGTACAGTGACTCCCATCTGTGATCCCAGCACTTTGAGAGGCCAAGGTGGATGGATGGATTGAGTCCAAGAGTACAAGACCAGACTGGGCAACATGGCAAAACCCCATCTCTATAGGAAAAAAATAAAAAATAAAAAAATAACATTATTGGGTCAATTCACAAAATTGGAATACAAGTGGTAGAGAAAATAAAACGATTGAATTAGTTTACATTTATTGAATTTGATAACTGTACCATGGTACATAAGAGAATGTCCTTTTCTTGGGAAATACACATTAAGTATTTAGGGGTAAAAGATAATGATGTTTATAATGTAGCCTCAAATAGTTCAGAAAAAAGTGTGTGTGAGTGTGTTTGTGCAGGGGGAGATAGCGTGTACAAATAAAGCAGAGGGGATACAATGTTAACAGGTGAATCTGGGTAAATGGTAATGGGTGTTCTTTTTATTATTTTCATCTTTGCAACTTACTTGTAAATTTGAAATTATTTCCAAATAAAAAGTTTAAAAAACAGCAAAAAATGTTATATGAGATATCAGGAGGAAAATGAGTGTGCGTAAATATGAAACAAGATCGGCCATACATTGATAATTATTGACAGTGAGTGGTTTACTATAGTTTTACTATAGTATAAAAATAAGTTTATTATGCTCTTTGACTGCTATTGAATATATTTGAAATTTTTCATAATAGAAGAAGGTAAGCAATAATGAGGGCATCTGAACTTGAAGATTGCTAAGTGTATTTCCCAGCTCTAAAGCTCTCTGGCCATTTGAGTGTGATGAATTACATATGTTAGGTATGATCCTTTTTTTTTTTTTTTTTGAGACAGAGTCTTGCTGTGTTGCCCAAGCTGGCTTTGAACTCCTGACCTCAAGCAACCCTCTTGCCTTGGAGGCCTTTTGAATAGCTGGGACTACAGGCTTACACCACTTTGCCCAGCTCGATCTAAATTTGAGTTCTACTTCGGCTCAAGTTTTTCCTGCAAAAATTGGGAAGACTATCTACTAATAAGAGTAACTAAATATCTATTATGCATTTGAAGTTGTTAGCACATCTCCTGGCACATAGTGTAGTAATTGTTCAATATATGTTAGTAATCACTTATTATTGGATGAGTGAATGAAACAAAAAGATTAATTTTCACTGATGGTTAGAAGATGGAGCATTATCGGTAAGGAATTTGATCTGCATAACTACTCTCATTATTGGCATGAGGTATTACAAGAGGTTCACAGAGGGGGGTACAGAAAGAACAAACTGTTCTTTCAGAAGAAACTGAGAACTGTTATTTTCTTGAGTGAGCCCAGCTTTGCTTGTGCTCACATTTGATTTTCCCTGTGCACTCCAGCACCATAGTGGTTCCTGCCTCTTTCTTAAGGGGTTATATAATTATGCAGATCAACATTGTGAGTCTTTTTCCCCTTGGACAGTACTTTCTGGAACTGCTAGATTTCCAGATGAGAGCTGTTTATTCTGGATTAGACTTAATTTGGTCAGCTGAATTCTCTTGGGTATGAAGAGTTTTTCTTACCCTTGGCCTACTTTTTGTGATTCTAAATCTCCTTTTACAGTTTCAGCAAGTATTCTGGAAAACAGAAATAGCTGAAAGCACTGCTTTCTTTTGCCTTCTTAGTTCCTTTGCTGTTTAATGATCTCAGTATGTCAGTTACATTGCCTTCTCTGAAAGCCAAAACAATAGAGCCCTGCATTACAAAGGAACGCTTTGTTATTGTCACAGTTTTCATCGAGTGCCTACTGCGTGCCAGGCTCCTCACAGCTTGTTTCAAAACCAGATGGTTACCCCATGGCGTTCAGGAAGGTGATGGAGATATATTCAGGGCCCAGGGGGAAAGAAAAAGGCACTGGTCTAGCTGAGATGGCCCAGGAAGCTCTGCGCTGCTTTTACCCACACACAGTGTCTTCTTTACCTTTTATTGCACTTGGATTCTAAGCTCCTGCCCTCCCAAAGAGTAACAACTTAAAAGCAGAAGAAAATCACTGTAGTAAATCACCCTAATAAATCAGCTCATTTCCCATGTTCTCACAGTTCTTGTGGAAGAAATGGAGAAAAAATACAGGAAGAAGAGAAGAAGAAGTGAAGACGGAAGCGAGTTCGACTCCTATTCTCCCAGGTGCCTCGTCCCTTTGTCTAATTTTGTATTCTGCATTTTCCTCTTTTCTACCTTCCCCCAGCATTCACAATGATTGGTTTGTTTGTTTTTAAATTTTATTTATTTATTTATTTATTTAGACGGAGTTTCACTCTTGCTGCCCAGCCTGGGGTTCAATGGTGCAATCTTGGCTCACTGCAACCTCCACCCCCCGGTTCAAGCCATTCTCCTGCCTCAGCCTCCCAAATAGTTGGGATTACAGGCATGCACCACCACGCCTGGTTAATTTTTTGTATCTAGTAGAGATGGGATTTCACCATGTTGGTCACGCTGGTCTCGAACTCCTGACCTTAGGTGATCCACCCGCCTCGGCCTGCCAAAGTGCTGGGATTACAGGTGGGAGCTACCACACCCAGCCAGCCACCACATCGGCCTGTTTTTTTTTTTGCATAGAGATGGAGTCTCAGGCTGGTCTCAAACTCCTGGGCTCCAGTGATTCACCTGCTATGGACCCCCAAAGTGCTGAGATTATAGGTGTGAGCAAGACAGTCTCACTCTGTCCCCCAGGCTGGAGTGCAGTGGTGCCATCTAAGCTCACTGCAACCTCTGCCTCTCAGGTTCAAGCAATTCTCCTGCCTCAGCCTCCTGAGTAGCTGGGATTACAGGTGCCCTCAACCACGCCTGGCTAATTTTTATATTTTTAGTAGAGACAGGGTTTTACCATGTTGGTCAGTCTGGTCTCAAACTCCTGACCTCAGGTAGATTCACCCACCTCGGCCTCCCAAAGTGCTGAAATTACAGGTGTGAGCCCCTGCACCCAGCCTCACAATGCATGTTTTATTAGTTGTCCATCATCACACTGAGTATCACACTTAGTATTATACTTAAGTTCGTAACTCGATTCTCTGTTGGTGGTTCCAAGTTTTCGCTATTATGTAAAATGTTGTGACAGAGAACTTCATGCTTATAACTTTTCTTTTTCCTTTTGGATTATTTCTTTAATATAAGAATGGAGTGCTGGTCAGGCTTAGGATGGGAGTCAGTCCATTTTAAATGAATTATGCTCTCCTTATTAAGCTACAGGGGCATAAAAACATTCACTCCTGCTGTATTGACCATGCTTCTCAAAAGCACACCTCGTTTAAAGCAATGAAACAAGTATTAGCTTAATATTCAAATACACCCCAAAAAAGAACGTGGTTGAAGCAGGAAAGCCAGCTAGAGCGCTGGAAACCCTGAGTCACAGATCCCTGAGTGAGGGAGCCCGGACCGCCACGTGCTGGGGGAGCGCCCCCTTGCTGCCGTACTCCTCATTTTATCAGGGCAGGACTTCGTTTGAGCAGAGTCTCCCATCTGAAGAAATATTTGGAAGCCAGGAGTCCATTTCCTTCATTTTATTCAGGACATGGGCTCAGCAAGGTCTCTTTTAAAACGTGGCCAAGATCCACAACAATCCAGGACTGCATTCTGCCTTCAGGTTTTGGGGCACTCTGGACACAGTTCCTCTCCTAGTAAATGAGGGGAACGGAAGGAGTGAGGGCCTGGGAGGCCAAGGGAGGAGGTTCACCTGGGAGGAGTCGGGCCTGTTTCTCCTCGTTTCTTCTCTCCCTCATTCCTAGCTTCTTCCATGTGTCTATGAGGACAGATCTTTCTAAAATGGCACATCTCGAGGCCCGGCACGGTGGCTCACGCCTGTAATCCCAACACTTTGGGAGGCCAAGGTGGGCGGATCACCTGAGGTCAGGAGTTCGAGACCAGTCTGACCAACATGGTGAAACCCCGTCTCTACTAAAAATACAAAAAAAGAAAAAAAAAATTGGCCAGGCATGGTGTCACGTGCCTGTAATCCCAGCTACTTGGGAAGATGAGGCATGAGAATCACTTGAGCCCTGGAGGTGGAGGTTGCAGTGAGCAGAGATCGCCCCACTGCCCTCCAGTCTGGGTGACAGAGCAAGGCTCTGTCTCAAAAATAAATAAATAAATAAATGAAACAGCACGTTTCCTATGTCGCTTTCCTGATGACAGCTCTTCACTGCCTCCACTGCTCCCCAGGCACCTACAGTGTCCTGCGCCGCGTGACTTCTCACCTCCACCAACCCCTCACACCTCCCCCTGCAGGAAGCCTCCTGGCACAGGGACTTCATCCTCTGTTCCTTCTTCTCTGTTGTCCTTCTACCTGGAGCTCCCATCCTGGTCTCACTGGACTTTGCCCTTCACAGGTAAATCTTTCGCGAGAGTCCCAAGGGCATCCTTCCCATGCCCGTGGCTGTGGTGCTCCTAAGGCTTCTGGAAGGTAGGGCCCTGTCTGCTTTCCTCGGTTTCTCCAGCAGCCTGGGGCCAGGAGAAGGGCAGCACTATGAGAAAGAAGGGGAATGGGAAAGAGTCATTTGCTTCCTTAAAGATGGTGGGAAGCTGTTTGAATTACATCAATGAGCCATCGCCGGAGAAGGCAGATGAGTGAGTTTTTCCCCAAAGGGAGGTTTTTTTTTTTTTTCAACTTTTATTTTCAGCTCAGGGGGTACATGTGCAGATCTGTAACATGGGTAAAATGCGTGTCACGGGGGTTTGATGTACAAATGATTTCGTTACCGGGGTAGTGAGCATAGTACCTGATAGGAAGTTTGTTGATCCTCGCTCTCCTCCCAACCTCCACCCTCAGGTAGGCCCGGTGTCTATTATTCCCCTCTGTGTCCATGTGGACTTCATTTATAAAGTGAGATAAATAAGAACGTGTGGTGGCTGGGGTGGTGGCTCATGCCTGTAGTCCTAGCACTTTGGGAGGCCGAGGCAGGAAGATCACAAGGTCAGGAGATCAAGACCAGCCTGAGCAACATGGTGAAACCCTGTCTCTACTAAAAATACAAAAATTAGCTGGGTGTGGTGGTGCATGCCTGTAATCCCAGCTACTCAGGAGGCTGAGGCAGGAGAATCACTTGAACCTGGGAGGCGGAGGTTGCAGCCCCAGCATTGCATCGACTGCACTCGCAAGCCTAAATGGGGTGACAGAAGCGAACCTCTCTTGTCTCAAAAAAAAAAAAAAAGAGCATGTGGTATTGGTTTTCTGTTCCTGTGTTAGTTTGCTTAGGATTAGCCTTTGTTTATGTACCTATGTCCTGAATGGTATTGCCTAGATTTTCTTCTAGGGTTTTTATGATTTTCATTTTTACATTTAAGTCTTAATCTATGTTGAGTTATTTTTTGTATAAGGTGTAAGAAGGGGTCTAGTTTCAGTTTTCTGCGGCGATTGGCTAGCCAGTTTTCCCAGCACCGCTTATTAAATATGGATATTCCTTTCGCCCAATGCTTGTTTTTGTCAGGCTTGTCAAAGAGCAGATGACTGTAGATGTGTGATGTTACTTCTGAGGTCTCTCTTCTGTTCCATTGGCCTATATGTCTGTTTTGGTACCAATACCATGCTTTTTTGGTTACTGTAGCCTGGTAGTATAGTTTGAAGTCAGGTAGCTTGAGGCCTCCAGCTTTGTTCTTTTTGCTTACAGTTGTCTTGGATATACAGGCTCTTTTTTGGTTCCATATGAAATTTAAAGTAGTTTTTTCTAATTCTGTGAAGAATGTCAATGGTAGTTTAATGGGAATAACATTGAATTGATAAATTACTTTGGTCAGTATGGCCATCTCACAATATTGATTCTTCCTATCCATGAGGATGGAATTTTTTAAAAAATTTGTTTGTGTCTTCTCTTACTTCTTTGAGCAGTGGTTTGTAGTTCTCCTTGAAGAAGTCCTTCATGTCCCTTGTTAGCTGCATTCCTAGGTATTTTATTCTCTTTGTAGCAATTGCGAATGCGAGTTCATTATGATTTGGCTCTCTACTTGTCTATTGTTGGTGTAAAGGAAAGCTTGTGATTTCTGCACATAGATTTTGTATCTTGAGACTTTGCTGAAGTTGCTTATCAGTTTAAGGAGTTTTTGGGCTGAGGTGGTGGGGTTTACTAACGATAGAATAATTTTGTCTGCAAACAGAGACAATTTGACTTCTTCTCTTCCCATTTGAATACCCCTTATTTCTTTTTCTTGCCTAATTGCCCTGGCCATAACTTCCAATACTATGTTGAATAGGAGTGGTGAGAGAGGGCATCTTTGTGTTGTGCTGGTTTTCAAAGAGAATGCTTCCTGCTTTTGCCCATTCAGTATGATATTGGCTATGGGTTTGTCATAAATAGCTCTTATTTTTTTGAGATATGTTTCATCAACACCTAGTTTACTGAGAGCTTTTAACATGAAGGGAGGTTGAATTTTATCAAAGGCCTTTTCTGCATCTTTTGAGATGATCATGTGGTTTTGGTCATTGGTTCTGTTTAGTGATGGATTAGGTCTATTGATTTGCATATGTTGAACCAGCCCTGCATCACAGGGATGAAGTGGACTTGATCATAGTGGATAAGCTTTTTGATGTGCTGCTGGATTCAGTTTGCCAGCATTTTATTGAGGATTTTCACATTGATGTTCATCAGGGATATTGGCCTGAAGTTTTTGTTGTTGTTGTGTGTCTGCCAGGATTTGGCATCAGGATGATGCTGGCCTCATAATATGAGTTAGGGAGGAGTGCCTCCTCTTCAGTTGTTTGGAATGCTTCAGAAGGAATGTACCAGCTCTTTTTTTGTACCTCTGGTAGAATTCACCTGTGAATCCATCTGGTCCTGGGCTTTTTTTGGTTGGTAGGCTATTAATTACTGCCTCAGTTTAAGAACTTGTTATTGGTCTATTCAGGGATTCAGCTTCTTCCTGGTTTAATCTTGGGAGGGTGTTTGTGTCCAGAAATTTATCAATTTCTTCTAGATTTTCTAGTTTATTTGTGTAAAGGTGTTTATAGTATTATCTGATGGTAGTTTGTATCTCTGTGGGGTCAGTGGTGATATCCCCTTTATCATTTTTTATTGTGTCTGTTTGATTCTTCTCTCCCTTCTTCCTTATTAGTCTAGCTAGTGGTCTATGTGTTTTGTTAGTTTGTTTAAAAAAAAATCAGCTCCTGGATTCATTGATTTTTTTTTTTAAGGATTTTT